AAAATTTTGTGCTATGCATATTTAGCTTTTTTATACTTACTTATTCTTAGCTTGTATTGATATAAAAAGTTTTGTAGATAATCGCTTGTTTTATTTTAACAACTTTTGAGTATCAATATTTTTAAGAAAGTACGAAAGCACATCAACCGCATAACGTTTACATAACTTCCGGGTAAATTCTTGACAACATTTGGGCGAATTTCAAAAAATGTTAAGCCTGAGGCGCTTTTTTACACTCTTGTCCTCTATTTTTTTTATTTTGAAAGTTGGCAACCCTACAGGCTACAGGAAATTCACAGAACTTATTATTGCGTATTAAATCCTTGTATTACTGAAGACCGTCACAGTAAATTTACAGAATATAACAGTGAATTATGTCAGAACACATTCTCTGTAAATTTACGGTATTTTACGTTGGGCGTTATGTAGCAAACGTAATATTATTGAATTTTAAATGGGTGTTTTGGAATGTATGCAGGATTCGAACCCATCTCAGATTTAATCTTAGAATCAGAATACAATGAAAATTGAGCTTTGAAATTTTATAGTCGGTATAATATGCTGTCGTGACATTGGTGCAGGCAACGATGTCCGCCCTATAAAAAAATAAGTCACATGCCCGCTACGCTAGGCTCCACACTGGCACTATACACAAATGTACGTCTGATAAGAGCGAAACCGTGAAAAGACGAATAGAAATGGTATCAGTGGCCGATATGGTCCGATAAAATCCCGTACGAGGAAATAGTTGATAAGACAAACATACAAATTCGATTGATAGAAAAATTATAATAACGAAGCCAGTGTAGCGTTTGGTAGCGTTTGGCGGCGTAGCTCTGCATTTCCCGGAACACTCACTGAACCGGTTTCATAAATTTTTACAAAATGAGGCGCTGGGACGTGTTTCACATAAATTATATGTTTAGTTTTAAGTCTGGCAACGTCGCAATCCTACACGCCTTCGATTTTTGATTCGACTTTTTTAATTTGAAGGCGTCATGGAAATATTATATTTTTAGAAAGAAAAAGGAAGTTTCTTATAAGATAAACTTCACGAAATCTTAACACAACCAAAATATTTCCAAAATCTTTATTTCCTTTTCTTCTAATTTGTACACTTTATAAAACCCCATCTACACATAACGTTTTACCGGACAGTAGGGGCGACGGCTTTTAGAAATACTCGTGAATGTAACAAATTTCCAGATTGTCACTTTTGTTGTATTTATTACATTTTTTCACATGCACATACATAACTAAATAAGAAAAATTCCATATCAATTTACGTCATATTTGCAATTCTATTGTAATAGTACAAGGGTATGCCATAAAGCCGTTCACTCGAGTACTCGATTATTGAAATAACCGACATCGCTCGATTATGAACGAGCGATGCAAGTGACGAGTTACGAGCGACAAACGCAAGCGATCCTAGAATAAAATAAATTGAAATCCGATTTTAATGTGACATACTCGATAAAAAGCCGAGCGAATTTTCTGCATACATTGCAGGTAGCAAATTTATACGACGTTATCCGTTGCGTATGGAGTGAGAAAATTCTACACCCTACATTGACAATGGTTTGAAATAAACTAAATCAAGCGAATTACTCGTCGCTTGCTACTTGCCATTCATCAAAGAATATGCGGCCCGCGCACGCAACTACTGCTGTACTTACAACAAGCGACGGGCGAAAAACAGTATTTTTAAATACGAGCGATATTTCGCTCGAGCGATCGCTCGATTATTGGTATCGCTTGAAACTCGAGTACTCGATTATTGAAATTACTCGGTTTTTTCCCATCACTAATAGTGATGGGATAACTCGAGCGAAAATTCTGTTAGTCTATTATTGAAATAAACGACATCGCTCGATTATGAACGAGCGATGCAAGTGACGAGTACCAAGCGACGAACGCAAGCGATCCTAGAATGAAATAAATTGAAATCCGATTTTAATGTGACATACTCAATAAAAAGCCGAGCGAATTTTCTACATACATTGCAGGTGGTAAATTTATACAACGCCGTATATACCGGGCGCGTCTCAAAAGTGGCACACCCCTATTACTTTTTTATTTTTTTAGATAAAAAAATGAGATTTGGTATGTTAGTATATGACATAAATTAGGATTGATTGACGTATTCAATTGTTTTCTGTCACTTCCTGTTTCACCGGAAATGACTACAATTTTTGATTTTTAAATGGCACCGTCATTCATATGTCAACTTTTGACATATTCGCTTAAAAACAAATTGTATTTTAAATTTCACGTTAGAGTGCCATGGCTGTGTTAAAAACACTAATTTTTAATCGTTTGATTGTTTAATGTTTTTAGCGTCTTGCCCTGGCCGGTTAAAAGATGCCCAAATGGAATTTTGATCATATCTCAATTTTTTTCAAATGGAACGAGGGTGGATTATTAGCGTATTTCGAAAAGATTTTTTTTACGAATAATTTGATACCACACACTTGGTACTTCGAGTCAAATTGTCGTTATGAACCGCATGTTACAATTTCAAATAAACCATATGCGAAAATGTCAAAAGTTGGCATGTGATATGTCATTCTATTCAGAGTATCATTTTCTACCGAATAAAGTAAAAAAATACCGAGGGTGCGATTTAAAAATCAAAAGTTGCAGTCATTTCCGGTGAAACCGGAAGTGACCGAAAACAATTGAATATGTCAATCAATCCAAATTTACGTCACCAAATTTCGTGGTTTTATCTGTAAAAAAATAAAAAAGCTTCGAAATAAACTAAATCAGGCGATCAAGCGAATCGCTCGCCGCTTACTACTTGCCGTTCATTACCGAAAGAATATGTGTCCTGCGCACGCAGCTTACTGCTTGGCGCTTGGCATTAACGAGTACTTACAACATGCGACGGAAAAAAAACGTATTTTTAAATACGAGCGATATTTCGCTCGAGTGATCACTCGGTTATTGCAATCGCTTGATACTCGAGTACTCGATTGTTGAAATTAATCGGTTTTTCCCATCACTAATTTAAATATCAAAAGTTGTAGACATTTCCGGTGCAACAGGAAGTGACCGAAATGAATACGTCAATCGATTCTAATTTATGTCATATTTTTATTTGTCATATTTATTTCATTCTCATGCCTCCGTTTATCGGTTAATATACGAATAGCTTAAATAAATAAATAAAATAAATGCCTTTATTGTCAAAAAAATTTACAATTTGTAGACAAAGGTAAAGTAAACAAAGAAAGTAAACAAACAAAAGATAATACAAAACATTATACAAATAATATTGTCAGTCTTATTGTTTAAAATAAACATTTATATAAATGTTTTAAACAATAAGACTGACAATATTATTTGTATAATGTTTTGTATTATCTTTTGTTTGTTTGTTTATGATTGGTAAAAATATTTAACAATGACATTTTACAATTTACAATAGATACGTACAATTCCAAATTCTATTTTTTATTCATTTTGTTTGGGTTAGTTTTACTTATCAATTATTAATTTTTTATCCCCTGTTTCGTAAAAAATATATTTATGCCTCGGCTACTTGGTATGCTTAAACCGTACAACGTCTACAACTGTCATTGAACTCTACAATAGTGTATATATTAAAGGTATTATTTCCCTTTTATATTCCAACGATGTTGGAAACCAACAACCAAAACCAAACGAAATATACCTAATATACATAACACCATACGCGGTAAAAAAATCACAAGACTGTCTCATTTTGATATTTCACATTCTGTATGGCTATAATCTCGTTTAGACTCAAACATAAAATTGCCCATCGGATCGTCGGCTTTGTCGACTTTTTCAATAGCGACCAGCTCATCCAAAGGTCTCGCTACTCTCTTTAGAGCGGGCTCCGAACAATCGGTATTCAAAGGATTGAAGTCGATGGTGGTGCTGGTAGAAAAACTGGGTTTCGGTTGAATAGGGACAAACTGAAGGAATGGGTCGGTTCTTGAACAGATTCGGCTGAGGTGACGGCGCAAATAGGTTTTGTGTCTTCCACTGCGTAAAGTGTATAGTAGCTGTCCCAGCTGTCGTTCATAAAAAAACAAAAAAAATAACCCCAGAGATTAACCAACGCAATCAAATCACGCCTACAGCAACTTTTAAAAAAATGATACAATTTATTTCAATTTTATTAATATTTTTCTCAAGGAGAGGAATTAAAATTTGTAAGTTAACGTGCACAGTTTTAATAAAAACCAAAAATACCGTTTCATACGTTAAATGCCTCGCTTTCATGAAAATTATTTTTCGGATAAGGTAAATTAAAAATACTCTAACATTACTTATTACCAGTATTTATTAATTTATTGTTTATTAGATAGTAAATTATGAATTAAATAACAATTTAGAACGTTTTTCCACTAGTATACGTCTGCAACACACTCATCAATTGCAATCTAACTTCCAAATTGACATCGTCGGGCAGTTTTTTGAGAAACGGCAACAGCGACAATAAAAATTTTTTGTTGCCCATTGGATCGTCGGCTTTGTCGTCTTTTTCAATAGCGACCAGCTCATCCACTTTCTTTAGAGCGGGCTCCGAACAATCGGTATTCAAAGTATTGAAGTCGATGGTGGTGCTGGTAGAAAAACTGGGTTTCGGTTGAATAGGGACAAATTGAACGGATTGGGTCGGTTCTTGAACAGATTCGGCTGAGCTGACGGCGCAAATAGGTTTTGTGTCATCCAGTGCGTTAAGTGTGCGTTGCTGTCCCTGCTGGCGTCCAAAACAAACAAAAATAATAACCCCAGAAATTAACCAACGCAATCAGATATGCCTACGGCAACTTTAAATAGATTGATAAAGTTTATTTCAATAATATTTTTCTCAAGGAGAGGAATTAAAATGTGTAAGTTAACGTGCACAGTTTTTATAAAAAATAAAAAATACCGTTTCATACGTTAAATGCCTCGCTTTCATGAAAATTATTTTTCGGTTAAGGTAAATTAAAAATACTTTAACATTACTTATTACCAGTATTTATTAATTTATTGTTTATTAGATAGTAAATTATGAATTAAATATCAATTTAGAACGTTTTTCCACTAGTATACGTCTGCAGTACGCTCATCAATTGCAATCTAACTTCCAAATTGACATCGTCGGGCAGTTTTTTGAGAAACGGCAACAGCGACAATAGGAATTTTTTGTTGCCCATCGGATCGTCGGCTTTGTCGTCTTTTTCAATAGCAACCAGCTCATCCAAAGATCTCGCCACTCTCTTTAGAGCGGGCTCCGAACAATCGGTATTCAAAGGATTGAAGTCGATGGTGGTGCTGGTAGAAAAACTGGGTTTCGGTTGAATAGGGACAAATTGAACGGATTGGGTCGGTTCTTGAACAGATTCGGCTGAGCTGACAGCGCAAATAGGTTTTGTGTCATCCAGTGCATAAACTGTATCGCTGCTGTCCCTGCTGTCGTCCAAAGTTAGCTGGATCCTTTCCCTGAAATAAAAATATAAATCTTTTACTGAAAAAAACAACAGGACATTTTTATTTAGATAGTAGATGTAGATTATATCGGAGGAGAGAAGTTAATCACCGCGACCTCATAGATCTATGAGCTTTTTATACCCCTCTATCTCTATTGCCTCCTTGGATTTGAAGTCAGTTACACCGCAAATGTTAGTCAGTTCACTTCTACAAGCCCCACATGTAGAAGTAAGGGAAACTAGAATACAATGGGTTGCCCCCTGGTTCCTCACGGTTGAAATTATCCCTTTGACCTGGTCCCGTCATCATAGAATTTCTATTTTTGGTGAGGTTGTCTCCTCTTGGTCCGGACGGTTAAGCTAAAACTTCCCCACACCTTCTGCCCGTAATACATGATCACAGACAATAGAGGGTGCCTGGTATATTGACGGACAAAGTAGTCCCATCCGCCATCGTTATAGGCCTTGGTGCAATTCCCTAGCCACGACACACGACACTACAGCCAGGGACAAGACAATGAGATGCTCTTTAGACCCAGTAAAAGTACCAGAGGGGATTCCCCTATTACCTGACTAGGAAGTTCCCCACCAACAACAAAGTCTCACATCTCCTAGGGGAATATTCGTGCCATAAACTGATTAGTAAAGTTACTTTTCACTTCCTATAAACTGTGTAACATTGCAATATCATTTCGAACATTTCTAATGTAGTTTAATAGGTTTAGTCTCTGGATTTAGCTTCATCGGCTTCTGGTGTTGGATGTTATTGCTTATTGGATGTTAATATGATATATATCAAGGCTATCTGTACATCGACGTACCTAGATCGCATTGTGTTTAGGTGACCAAGGGTTTAATCTTTTTCATGTTCTTGATCTAGATCTAAGTTTTGAATATCTCTTTTCAAGTATCCCCGTATTCTGAGCAAAATATACATAAATTTCTTTCACAAAATCGAAAAAGTAGCTAATTTCAGAAACGCTTCGTATACTACCATTTGAGACCAGATTCCAAGCAGTACAATTTTTTTATTTGGTAAGAAGTAAGACAAGCTGTGAAAAGCACAGAGGGCTAAATCCGAACCATGGAAGGGTGTATACCCTCATTTCCCAAAATCGAGCAAATTGAAAGATTCAAATAAATAATATTCAGGTCCGCAATTTAAAGATATTATTTTTAACTTTTTATTTTGAATTTGAACTCTCTATGTACGATTTAATATTAAGCATAATATTAATCGTAGTTATTATAAATAAATCAACTTCTACAAACCAGTTTCTAATCCTCTACATGTTCGAAAGGGTTACCACCCTTTCGCAATTGCACAAATTTATTTTTCGTTCAATTTTATGCCCTTTCAACAGATCTTATACTTCCAAATGACCAAATATTGAGGTGTATTGATTTCACTTTTACAAATGACGTTAAATAATGCCCCCCGCCGGACTTCAAATTAGTTTAAATAAATGTGTTTAAATGCCCGAAACAGGAAAAATATTAAGTGTTGCATATCATCGTACTGAAGAGACCGAATTCTTTCAAAACCTGAAATAAAAAGTGCAGGTCTGTAATTGAAAAAATTATGTTGGTTTGTGTATCTCACAAATTACCAGCTAGTTTGAAAATCTAAAAACACTATCAGATAGCCATGATAAAGTGGCTATGAGAATGAACAATGAACAACAGAAAAAAAAATAAAATTGATTTTCAAAAAAATCCTTTTTTCCAAAAAAATCAGCATTCCTTGAACTTTTTAAAACTTTTCTGATGGCATCATGGTCGCAACAAGGCGCAACATCACAAGGCGCAACTTTGCCCCAATTTAACAATGTTCATATCTATTACGGTTACAATACGGATACCAATGCTCGTACCCCGAATTTGTGGCACCCTGAGTAATATCAAAAACGTTGTTCAAATAATTAAGTACCAACTATGAAAGACTTGTGATAGGTACTTTTATGGGAGGAGTTACCAGTAGGAAAGAAGCCTCTAGGATGTGATGGAAGGAAAACATCAGGAGTGGATCAGCATTGAACAGGCAAAGAAAAAAAAATATAAGTGGACATAAAAAAACATGGACGCATATTGTTCGGTAGGCCAAGACTAACCAGACTTTTAGAGTACTACCGAAACAAAACTGTGTATAGAATCCGAGGGGTGTCTCACTCGGGTAAAAAAATGTACACGTACTGCCAAAATATCCTTCCACTGCTAAGCGACTGCCAATGACTATGAAGAAGACTGCCTATGACTGCCATGTAATTATTATAGGTGCCTGCCATAAGACTGCCAATGACTGCCAGCGACTGCCAAGGAAATGTACATGTAATTCCAATAGTGAGACACCCCTCGATAGAATCCTACGGAAACCCATTTGTGGCTCTTAACTTGTGATAAATTTTCCTAGTCAACAAAAAACACTACTTAAAGTTGTTAAGTGTTTTTGTTGATTTCATAAAGTTCCTTCATAAGAAGAAGGAACACAAAAATAAACAATTTAAATCCAATTGTATATACCAATAACAATTTAGAGCTATCTCACAGAGCCTCTATTAACCATTGATATTTTGACTGTCATAAGCTCAGTTTTGAAACTAATATTACTTACTATTTAATAACAATTGCTTAATGAGATGCATCAACGTTGACATGTAGTTACAGTATATCTGGAAGTATTGCAACTTGAAATTATTTGTAACTAAACGCCTACAAATATTTTCAAGACCAGAGAGGCAACCTATAAATTTCAAGTTTTCAAAATATCAAAGTACTAAAAATCAAAAAAAAAAATGTGTAAAATCTCTCTTTATCGTCGTTTGGGGTGAAATTGATATCCGGGGGTGAGATTGATCACTAGATTGCATTTTTATTAATTCAAATGTTCGTTTAATGTAAAACCGCCAAGTGTCTTTAGTAGAAACACGGTCGAAGGGAATGTGTAAAAGTCACATCGTTAAATCGCTGTTTTTTGTTTAAAAATCCATTCAAATTGTTTAACTGTTTTTGCTTTCATTTACAACTTCTAGAACTTTGATTGGTAAGTCAAATTGTGATATAACGAACACACTGATTGCATGGCGCTATTTGTTGATGTTTCTGCAAGTTATATTCCGAAATTTAGTTATTTTGGATTGTGGATTGTGAGGTTATACTTTAATTTGTTCAAAGGGGTCAGATTAATCTTAAGTACGGGTGAGATTGATTGACTCCATTAAAAAACTCTGCAGCACCAACCCTTAGACGTGGGATTTTTCCGCTCATTCAAAAATGCATGGAGAAGAGTGTTGACGAATTGGAAGGCGGCAAATAAACAGCAAACGTCAATAGATAAGAAGGACTTTCTGCACCTGCTTGCCTCTACTTTGGCCGAAATGGAAAATATATCCGATAATGCCATTAAGAATGACCCCATCAGCTCATTTCAAGCAACTGCAATTATACCAATTGATCCAAAGCGTGCTTTTTGCAAAATTCCAGCAAATGATAATAACCCTGGACCGATATCAGTGATACCCTTTTAAACTATTTACAACAACAACGATTCTCAGCAGCACCGACAAGAAGAAACATAAAACGCCAGAAGCTAACGGTGGAGCCTGGCAGAAGTGTTACAGCAAACAATGATAGCTCTAGCGAATCATATGTCAATGGACCAGTAACTAACGACAATTTAGATGACGAACCTTTAGAAGAAGACGCTGAAGAGGCTATCCGACATGAATCTGAATATTTTGTGTCCCGAATTGAAGATATCGAAGTTTGAAAATTCGTGTTAGTAAAAGTTTTTTTTAAATTTTTAATTTTAATAAAATTTTTCATTGATAAATCTCACCCCAAATGATAAAGAATCCTATAAAATTTAAACCATGACTTTAAAATAGACTGGGGTTAGATTAATCAGTTTCTATGTAGGTATACGGCTTATTCAATGCATTAAATAAAACGCAATCAATCACACCCCACACGTAGTATGAGATTGTTCAGGACATTTTGTTCGTTCCAGGCCTTTAGTATATTTTTTTCAAATTTTCTGATTATTTGGTGTTGTTCCCATCACTAACATCTAACATCTTTAATTTCTAATAATTTAAAACCTCATATTAACTGAAGCTTATTATTGAGCGCTAAAAAACCCTCGCTGTTTGCCACGCCCTTTCTAATTTGAAGTTCAATAAAACACAAGTTTACTTAATGCAGAATGAGTTACATAGAGGCCACTAGCTTTTTAATTTTAACAGCCGGGTGGTCGAGGTTCAAAGATATTAATAAAAGGGCGCCACAAGATGATACTCTTCGGACTCGGCATAAAAGATGTTACTATTAAGTAGACTTCAACAATAACCTCGAACTGTTGAGTGTAACTACCATGAACTTCAAATATACTATAATTACTTGAACTTAAGTGACTCTAACTTAACTATGAAACTAGACTGTAAATAATACTAGTAAAAATATTTAAGCAATTTATTAAAATATTAAAAGTTTATAAAGAAATGAATGAATGTTAAGAAATTTAAATCAATAAGAATTACTAGTTATGAATGCAAAATGAAAATGTTCTTAACTATACTAAAACTAAGACGTCAAGCCCCCTTATCTAACTTAACACTAGATACAACCAGGGTGGTTTACATATAGCAAATCTAAATCTAAACAGTCTTACTCTAATCGATGTACAATCTTGAAACAACTCGGAAATTCCTCCGGCTGAGCTACGGTGTATAGCTATGGGGTGGCTACAGCAGAGTACAGCAGCTCGGTGTACCGTCACTGGAGCCCACGGATGTCAGCAGACGTACAGATGAAAGGCAAGGAGTTGAGGTTTCAAATGGTGAACATAAAAAACCCTAAATAACATTGGTTGTCTTAGAAAAGAGCCTCAATTATAGAACAAGGACTAGCACAACGTGTAGGAGTTAATAAAGGTAATAAAGAAGAACTAATCAAATCTGAACTTTACCTCGACGAGGGTTTATGATGTCCAACGGGTAACTCTACACACGGGCAGCAGGAACGGATGGAATTCTGGACTGTTCTGTGCTGTACGGTCTGGATCGGTCTTCTTGCTCTACAATTACGAACAACCAAATAAGACTTAAGAAAGATAACACTCAACTAATCTTTCTACACCACGTGGGCGTGGAAAAGTCGAAAACCAGTCAACAATACGAATAAAAATCAGTTGAGCATTGACTTAGAATAGGCAGAAGAATTATAGCATACCTTGGAACTATTCGGGGACTTCTTGGGCACGTGGAATCGGAATATCGGGCGGAAAATTTGGCTATTTTAATCCCATTGCGGAAATTGGTCGGCGGTCCATAAACATCAACAAATCCAACCACGTCTCTGACCAAATATGCTTCGGAAGCCTTAATCCTTTTCTACGAAGACCTGCTATTCACCAACAGGGAATGCTTCACGAAACGGCAGCCAGTTCTTCACGACGACATTCGGACGGTGGGTACACAAGAAGTGATGCAAGGATTCGATTTCCTTCACAAAATCAGATTTCAACCGGAAATCTCCCTCCAGGATATAGATAGAGAACTATATATCTTGACTAGTCCTACTCACAAAAAGGCATAAATAAAAAATGATGTTCTAGAATATTTTCTCCTCAGCCATATTCCATATCCGGTCAATGAACGAACTAAACTCATAAATTCCCACAATTAAATGAACCAATTGCACACTGCGATTCACATCAAAGATAACCAATTTAACTGCGAAATTTTATCTGATAATTATAAAATTTCAATAACCAAAACAAAGGATAAATAAATCCAAAAACATCTGATTTGATTTGACAGTGACAAGTGACGGACAAAAGTGATGATCAAAGATATAGAGAGATGGACAAAAAGCCTACTACTGCTGGTCGGCATCAGTGACAATAATGTGCAGCTGCAGCGCGGTGTATATCGGGTTGCATAATTGTAAAATTTAAATAAAATAATATTTAACAATAAAATTATAGTAAACATGATGCAAAAATAATAGCTATTTGCGATATATTATGAGCTAGCACACAGAGGTCGTTGCGAGGAAATTTGACTGTTACATGTTGACGTGCTCTATAAACCAATACCCATAGATAAATGAAACAAGTTTAGATTGGAAAGTGCCCATAAGGACAATGTAAACACTATTTGGCGCTATTCTTGCAACTGTCGCGACCCAAAACTTTTGAAAATTTCGGAGCGGTTCGGCTTTTTCCGGAATTATATCGCCAAATATTGTTAATTCAAATTTATTATTATTTTCGTTTAATTTTATAAATAAAAGACAGTGTGTTGCATACAAGAAACTTTATTTTATATAAGGACGCATGTATGAAATACCTATGAAACATTGGAAACCGACGTTATACCACGATCCACAATGGTTTTTGCAGTTCACAGTTCACAGCACAGCTTTTTAAGTTTTTAATGCCACTTTTTCACAATTATCACCGGTTGGAGTAAATAAAACTTGAATTAAACTAACAAGATAGCAATTATTACTTTGAAAATGGACGCTATAAACACTTTTCGGAATTTCTTTAATGAGAGCGGTTTGGATTTTGAAAGATTATTATGATTCATAGATAAATGAAACAAGTTTAGATTGGAAAGTGCCCATAAGGACAATGTAAACACTATTTGGCGCTATTCTTGCAACGGTCGCGACCCAAAACTTTTGAAAATTTCGGAGCGGTTCGGCTTTTTCCGGAATTATATCGCAAAATATTGTTTATTCAAATTTATTATTAATTTCGTTTAATTATAAATAAAAGACAGTGTGTTGCATACAAAAAACTTTATTTTATATAAGGACGCATGTATGAAATACCTATAAAACATTGGAAACCGACGTTATGCCACGATCCACGATGGTTTTTGCAGTTCACAGCACGGCTTTTTAAGTTTTTAATGCCACTTTTTCACAATTATCACCGGTTGGAGTAAATAAAACTTGAATTAAACTCACAAGATAGCAATTATTACTTTGAAAATGGACGCTATAAACACTTTTCGGAATTTCTTTAATGAGAGCGGTTTAGATTTTGAAAGATTATTATGATTTTTGAAGATTCTGACTTTGACAAGAGAAAATTATTTCTGTTTTTGTTTGCCGTTGTTCTTAGCGACCGCTATAGCAGCGCCAGATCGCGTATAACGGTCGCGACCCAAAATAATTTCGCGACCTAAAATTTTTACGGGCTTTCCAATCTAAACTTGTTGCATTTATCTATGTTATGATTTTTGAAAATTCTGACTTTGACAAAAGAAAATTATTTCTGTTTTTGTTTGTCGTTGTTCTTAGCGACCGCTATAGCAGCGCCAGATCGCGTATAATGGTCGCGACCCAAAATAATTTCGCGACCCAAAATTTTTACGGGCTTTCCAATCTAAACTTGTTGCATTTATCTATGCCAATACCTCTCTCTCTCACGAACATCTACCGAAAAAACTTATTTACAAAAATAAAATTTTGTACAAATACCAAATCCCGGCTAAAAACTTTTTCTTATGATCAATTTCACCCCAAACGACGACGGTACCTAATATTATTATATTGATTTTTAGCCAAACAGAAGTCTTTGTAAAAAAGATTGTTTAAAGTTAAGTTAAAGAAATCTTTAAGTTATAGATTTCTTTAGGGTTATTTTGTCGGAAAAAAATATTTGCAAAATGATCTGAAAAACTATAACTAAAGTTCCACAGCCATAAACATTGTTGAAATCTCGTTTTCAAAGGTAATTTAAAACCACTGAACCAAAATAAAACAAGTAAAGGTCAGCTTAAGAAACTCAACTTCAGCTTAAGTAGAAATGAACATATAAAACCCAAATTTAAAGAAATTGCGACCAAAAAAAAAACAGTTGCTATGGTTTTAACTGTTTCTTCCACTTAACCTCTCATATTACGGTATATAATGGTGTAATAAATATAAATCTTATTTTAAATACATTAGACCAGTAGTTCTTATATGTAGTGCCGGAAAACTTACTAAACATACTAAAAATATAGTCCAAATTTTATATTTAATTATTTAAAACAGACTAGATACAAAATACTAAATTAAAGAATCCTAAAACCAAATTAAGCTGCCTTAGTTTTCTTGTATGTATCGTAATTTCATCAAATACAGTAATAACAACCTTAAATTTCTAATCAAAAGTTTAATAACTATAGTCAGCCATCAAATTCACATATTTATAATTAGTTAAAATAGTATTATTACCTTTTGTGTATGAGACCTATTAAGAAGGAAAGTTGATCCATATAAACATATTTCTTGCTCGGTTCTGACAAAACGCCAGCTTTTACTTGCTCCTGGATTCTCAATTGCCTTGAGAAGTTATCTCTTATGGATTTCCACTTGGTTTGCATGTCTCTTACTGTAAGGCAAAAGGAGTCATATTAATATTCACAAATGTAAAACAATAATTTTTATTACTTAAAGCTGATTAAAGCAAACAAAAAAAAGGTGCTAAATCAGTTCACTTCACAGGATAAAATTTGATAAGTTCTAAAATTCTTAATCTGAAAACTTTTCCAATTACGTTTTATTTTATAATTGCTATAATTTAAAGATCCCTTTCTGTGCTCCCAATCAATCAGAATCCCCTTAGTCTAGAGTTAGTAACTGGAAAATGTATTAACTGAAACGGGCATTATATTCATTCGGTCTTTTTCATATCTAAAGAAACATTAGCCAGCGTCAATTAATAATTTAGGGAAAGTATGAGATTCTCGAGAAGATCACAATAACCTAATACACTTAAAATATACAGGGATGCCACTGAACAGTAAAGCATGGTAAAGCCGGTCCTACACGATGCTTCCAACGTTGGACGCATCAATATCGTAATTCACAAGAGTCTCGTACATGGTGTGGCAAATGTTTATGTCTCCAACGTTTTAAGGTGTTTGATGCATCGTGTGGGACCGGCTTAAGCAGCATGTGTAAACCATATCTGAAGCGAAATGTAAACCATTTCCCTCCCCTGAAGAAGCCCCTTATAAAACGAGTCCTAAATCAAAATGAAAAGATTTAAATCTGATAAAAATTACTTATAAACTGCATAATGCTCTAAATACGGAGCGATCTACAATGATTTAAATAGTTGGCCAAACTGTGTTTTAAGAGGATTTTTGGATTAGTGATTGGTACAAATTATCTATCCAAAAATATCATCAAAGTATGTCAATTCAATTTAAATTTTGGAAAATTTAAAGTTTGGACTTTGTTAGTTTTGTATATAAAACTATAGTGTTCAATTCGGTGTTCAACATACAAAAGGAGTACTTAGATACTCATAGTAGGTGGCTTACTTTCGTCCCAGCTTTTAAAAGAAAGATATTGAACGCAATCAGCAAAATGATAATATAACATAATTCTAACAGACATTTTTTTGGTTTGGGTTGTAAAACCAGTTTAAAAATCCTTAATATAGGTTTTATTGACTAAGCTATATAACCCAACCTATAAACCTTCTTGGACATATTGCAAGGGGAGTTTGACAATATACCCCACAAGGTGGTCAAGCGATATCTGGAAACAAGAGGGGTGAACAGTACGATAATTCGCTGGTTTTGGTAAATGCTCTCAACCTAACCTAACCTAACGGACAGCAGAGGCTGAGATAGGTACCAAAACTGTAGTTGTTAAAACAACGCAAGGAACTCCTCAAGATGGAGCTTGGTAGTGAATTAACTACTAAACGAATTAACTCTAGCGGGAATACACTGCATAGTGTATGCAGATAATATAGTCATGATTGCACGGGGGAAACATGAAGGTACCCTGTGTGATATTATGCAAAGAGGACTACGCATCGCTGAGAGATGATGCAGGACTGTCTGGCTGAGCATCAACTCAGACAAAACCGCGGTAGTGCAATTCACCACAAAACGAAGTCTGAAAAACTTGAAAAAAATCCATCTAGATGGAAAGGAAATACTGCTATCACAGGAAGTCAAATATCTGGGAATAACCCTGGACAGTAAACTTTTATGGAACAGGCATATTAAGAATATTTCCAGCAAAGCCCCAAGGCTCTCATGATATGGCTGGATGTATACCATGATAGTATAAGATCCATGATTACCTATGGTGCAGTTCCTTGTTACACACAACTAGAGCAATGTACAGCAAGGCAAAACCTGTGCAAAGTACAGAGACTGGCATGCATCTGCATCACATGTGCCATGAGAATATGTCCAATAGCAGCAATGCACAAAACCTAAACCACTGCACACTGTCGTCAGTCGTTATGCCACTGCGACAATAATTAGAATGTTCATTGACGGAAACACTATACTTGAAGAATTTTCAAGTCAGGGGCTTGGAACACCCTCAAAAACAAAATTCCACTTCTCCCAACTCCCAGTGGATGACATACCACCAAGAATCGAAAACTTTGAGAATTATTTCACTGTATTGAGTAATAAAAAGGGTTGGAAGGGAGAAACGTTTGCTCAACAGAAAATGTAAAAGGACCATACCATAACGTAGAATACTGATGCTTCCAAAACCAAATCAGAGACAGGAATAGGAGTATTTGAGCCGAAAACTAAATACTCCGAGTCAATGGGCACCTACCCCAGCATCCTTCAGGTGGAAACTACGCCCTCGAAAGATACGTACAATTTATCTTAGATAAGAACTAGCGAAAACAGGAAATAATAACCATCTTATCCGATAGTCAGGCAGCACTAAACGCGATCAACTCAGTAACCATCAATTCGTACAAAGTAGTGCAAAGTTGGTCAAAGAATACCTAGAGAAGCTGAACAAATTAGACAAAAAAATAAAGTTCTACTATTCTGGGTATCCGCTCATCAAGGAATACTCGTAGAAAGTAATGAAAAAGCAAATGATCTAGCTATATAGAAAAGGAGCGAACACTCCCACTAACTGGACCAGAACCGTTCTGTTTTTCAAGCGGAAACCAACTAAAGGCGGAGCTGAGGAACCTGGAAGACTCCATCCGTAACGTGGAATGGGAGTCCTCCAACGGTCTAAGACACTCGAAAAAGTTTCTAAGAACTTATGACCGAGAAAAATAAAACATTTTCCTTGATTTAAGTAAAAACAATTTTCGAATTGTCACGGGGTTTCTAACAGGACACTGTCTCCTCAACGAACACCTCAGTAGGCTGAAGCTGAGAAACAACGGCGAATGCAGATTCTGTGGAGAAACTGAGAAAACACCAGAACACCTTATCACTGAGTGCGCCGAGACTACGACCGTTCATGCCATGTACTTTGGCTATGGCTGATGTCGAGGATGAAGAGCTGGCCTCTGTGGAGCCGTCTCAGATACTGACTTTTGTTAAAGCCCAGAGACTGTATGATGAGTTATAACTCGTTGTAACTCAAGATAGGAGAAGGCGGAGTATAATACAAACTGTGATAATGCCATACATGTATTCATGCATGGTGGACGGAATTGACATTGTAAGTCCCCATCCTTGATAGTTCTGTTTGACGTTTCAATTGAAATTTTGTGTGTTTGTTGGACGTTTCATTTGATTTCAAATTTTGTGTGTTTGTTTATATTTAATGAGCTTATTATATGTTATTTATATTATTTATTCTACAACTGCTTTTATGTTTATAGGTAGTAAATCTAAAAGAAAATTTTTGTGTCAGAACTGAACAGTGATATTATTGCGATTTATCGAGAAATGACTGCAAAATAGTTGGTTATGCTGAGTGCAGTAGATTTCAGCCAAAAACTGACGGAAATAATGGAATAACTTTTTACTGGTAGGTGACAATAATCATGGTATACAATATAATCGAAAAAAAACGGCGTCAGCGATGGCTACGAAATGAAGATCGTTGTCATTTTATATGTAAAATTAAACGGAGAATGTCATCGGTCGTCATTTCCAAGTCATCTGGACGCCGTTTTTTCGATCATACGGTACATGTGTAGTAAACCGATCATTTATGAAATTGGCTTAGAATTAAGTTATTATATATTTTTTCTTGCATTTTCGCTTTTATTTACTACTTCCACAAACTCTACTTCTCAAAAATCAAATCAAAAATAATTAAGATACTTCAATTTGGCTTACGTACCTCAGTAGCGTATTTAATGTTTGTGTTATTAAACATTTATTATAACTTATTTATTTTTATTAGAAATATATATTTTTATAACAATTTTAATATAATTACCTACTAAAATTTATTAACAACGTAAAAAAATAACAAATTAATGCACCACGTTAGAGTACCTACTTGCATTATACTTTTTGTACACATTTTTAATAAAATTAGAACGGTACGTCAGCCATATTAGGTCCCCAACGTGCTCAACCAAACAAACTCAAGTTTTTTGATTTGCTTCAAAGCATATGTATCTGCATTCAAAGGAATTTCTTAAATTTATTGCCTAACTAAGGAAATATCAATCAAATATCAAGGAATCAAATGATCAAAATCAGAATAGCCAACTATATCAATCGTTTTAGTTCACTTTGTGAATCCTGCTTATTTTTAAATAATAAGTACTAATTCTAGACCATAGATAAAATAAAATCATCTTCTATTTTCTAGACATAATATAATAACCTAAAAGATAAATTAAAACATCTTTCGTTGCACGTCATCAATGACACCATGCGTCGTCTTATGGAGTTTGCTGGTGATAGTATTATGATGTGCATCGAAAGTTATTTTAATTTCCCCAGAAGGAATGTATTTTACATGTATTTTGACATTAAACATTATATGAAATACTAGAAAAGAGTAAAATATAGTTTTAATTCTTACTTATTCCCTCCTTCTCCGTCGAACTGTAACCTGACCAATTCTTAAACAAAGCCACACCAATATCTCTCCACGCCTGCATCTTCATTTCTTGATTTCCATGTGCAGCTTTCTGATCGTAAATACACGGTCTCTTTTTTACCTCTTCGATCAAAGAAGAGGCATTTATTACGGGTTTCAATGACATATTTTTACGCTAGAACTTGGCGTCGTTACAGCAGCGCTCTGCGTTTGTCGCACTACAACGCGTATTCCACGTTTCGCCTGACAACAGCACGAATCGGACGATTTCGTTGCGCATTCGGCAGAACGCGCGTTGTCGGGCGTTTTCCGCAGACGTGACGCAGGGACGAACAAGGCCTCGCGCGTTTGAAGGCTCGAACCTGTAGTAGAGATGGGCGGTTATTGGTAAAAAACCGGTTATAGGTTAACCGGAATTATCTTTAAAAAATAATAACTTGACAAAATTAACCGGTTATTCAAATAACCTAACCTAGCAAAACTAAATATCTAGTTTTCCTGTAGGTTTACTTACCTCTGCACTCCATAGGTTACTTCAAATTTAGATAATAAATAGTGTTAAATCGCATGATTAAATAAAGATTGTAGCAATGTAAGTATGTATATGTACAAAATGAATTTAAATAAAAATGCTAACCTCACTTTTTTGAGTAGACATGGATATGATATTAAAACTAGTAATTACTTAACGTTCAAATAAACCACACAACTCACAAGTTCTACAATCTACAACCAAGTTATTTTAATCAAATACCAAAGAAAAATAAGGAGACTGAATGAATAGATAATGAAAGATTATCTTCATTCATTACTTGAACTTCAATTTTGTATTCTTTAGTCTAAGCTTCAATAGAGACTTCAAACTACAAATAAAATATATTTACGGTGAAACGTGGGTGAAACTGGGCGAAACCATGGAAAACTTTTGAAGAACCGTTGAAAATCCGTTAAAGTGGGTTAAAATTTAAATATAAAATTTAGAGAATCTATTTGAAGTTAGGTTCGTAGCACTTGGCTAGCTGGTGGCTAGTAGTAGTCTATGCCATTAGTACTTTGTTTTACGGCCTGACCTGTCAGGGCCATTCGGCTGTTGTTTTGATTATTATCATCAGGGTTCGCCTGATGCCTGATTTAATTTTGACATTTGATGTTTGATGTCATATATTTTCGTTTTGGGAGCGGGAGCGGGATCTTCCGTTATCGTCGTAATATCTGGAAGATCCGTGCCATTCGCTCCTTCGAAATTTACGATTCAAACAGCTAATATTTAATTGTTACTTGTTTTAAACAAGTACGATTTTTTTAAAAATAACCGGCTATAAGTTATTGAACGTAATGCAAGGTTATTAGGTTAACAGGTGAAAAAAAACTACCTTTAAATAACCGGTTATTTTAGAGGAAAATACCGGTTATTCAAAAAACCGGTTACTTTTGCCCATCTCTAACCTGTAGCTTCGTACAGATCTGAACTATCCTAAATATTACGCCGAACAACGAACTGAACGACAATAGGCACAGATTTGCAAACATGTGTTACTAGGCTTTGTACAGACCTGAACATTGCGCCCAACTAGAACAGAATAATAAAAATCAAATTGGATTTTAAATATGTATATAAAAAGGCGTTTACTATAACTGGGTATCCCATTATTCCTTGGACATAAGACTACTACGTATTTTTTGAATCAAAATAAGCTCACTGGACACAATTTACCTCTATACAAAAATTTTTGTCCGTTATAGGGTATAAATATAAACTTTAAAGAAACAGACGCATTTTTTCAGATATTTTATGACCCGTTATTCCGATTTGAATGAAATTTTGGGTGTCTATAAACCAAAGTCGTAACAACACCCAGTGTCTATAAATTATTGTATATTTTCCAACTCAACACACGACCGATTTTTTTTCGTAAAATGGTCTGTCTAATATTTATTACATTTTTAGTCTCTTATAAAAAACGCCCCTGCGCATACTTTTTGAGGAAAAACATATTTTTCCAAAGCTGATTTCCAAAAAATTTTTTTTTACATCAAGCTATTGAGGCGCATAAAATCCATTATGCTCTAATAATATAGTTGGCCGAAATATGGAATTTTTTATTAGTATTTCCAGGGGCGGACACAGGAATTTATTTCAGAGGGGGCCCAAATAAAAAAAATGTAGAATATGCTTTTTAAGGCACCTTTGGCCCCATGGGGCCCCCTGTATCTTGTGTATACAGAGGTAAATTCCATTGTAAATGTGTTTATTTTTTAAAGTTTGTCACCCACTAACGGACAAACGAAGCACTTTTGTATAGATGTAAATTTTGTCGAATGACATTATTTTGTTTCTAAAACACATAGTAGTTCTATATACACGGAATATTGGAACACCCTGTATATGCACACTTCGTTGAACTTCCAATTGCTGCCAGCACTGCATGACAGCATACTTCCTATCCGCGACTTCATAGCGCGGTGACGCATAAAGGCGAATATTTTAAAATCACACTAAACATAGAAGCACACTACAAAAATTTCTGAAATCTGATGTAAAACCAAGTATTTTATTTAGTTTCTATTTAAGTACATATTCAACAATTTCATTATAAATTGTTACTATCAATATATGAGATATATTTATTTCTGTAAGAATTGTAATAACTTGGTAATTGCACGATATGATATTCTACTAGTTAATGAAAATACTTTATTCTTAAGTGCACTGTTTTTATTTACGTAGTAATGGAAATGGTAGATGGTAGATTATTCTTTTTTTACAATTATGGTGCCGTGCAATTGGCCAGACTTGGCATTTTTTTACATTCTATGTTTTTCATCTCATTTTTTTTGTAGGGCATCCTCCTATTTTTTTCTTGGGCAATATATCTTACAGAATAATATTAATTAAAGCATTAAAATTAAGTTTGTCTAACGTTTAGCGATTATTCATAAACTTGTTGTATTGATATGCAAATAAAATCAGACAATATTAAATCGATTAATTCTAAGTCTTTGCCGACAGGAAAATCAGTTACCGGTATACCGTCTAGACACCTAACTTATCATAGACACCTAACTAATACATAAGGATATTTTGAGATTTTTAAATTTTCCTTCCCTTATAATCTAATAAAAACTACCAAAAATTCACAATTTAAAATTTGTGAAACATTTAGAAGTACTTTAGAATTTTTATGATCTGTGAATGAGTCACTGTCGAAATTATAGAAATTTGATAAGCGGTAATTCATAAACTATGGGGTATAATTACTAGATATATTGCCAATATAGCCAGCTATAGTATGTCCTCATAGTTACAGGGGGGTCAATGGTCGGCTCAATAAGTTGCCTGAATGGCATTATATGGCTGAAGACTGGAGTTCGGAATCCGTATAAACAAAGTAGATCCCCTCTAGATTAGCCCTGGTAGCAAAAAAGAGACATTAACTTTAAACGTACTTATCTTTTAATGTACCAATTGTGCTGTGTACTGAGCTGAGAATTGGTTTTGACATATTATGTCCCAAAAAAAATTTCGATGGTTTAAGTCGCATGGACACACCATATCGATTATTGTTATAAGAAAAGAAAAATCCTTTGAATAGTCGATCTCGTCCTTATTCATAAGCACAGTCACTTGAGTGACAGCCCCCAACCCCTAAGTATTCTTCAAGTCGCGACTGGCAGAGGTATCCAATGTATATCTTCCCTGGTCAATGTAGACGGTATACAATTTTAAGCTCTAAAAATTCCGAATACAGGTTCTATAATTCTAAATTATACAGGGTGGAATATAATTTCAGCAGCATATTAGGCCGATGAAAATAAGGAAAAAAGTTTGTATAAACTTGTCCTAAACTAACTAACATGTATATTTTTCCCCTATAACTTTTTTATTTTTCCAGTTAAAAAGACGAGATTTTGTATGTTAGTATATAACATAAATTAGGATTGATTGACGTATTCAGTTGTTTTCGGTCACTTCCTGTTTCACCAGAAATGACTACAACTTTGATTTTTAAATGACACCCTCGGTATTTTTTTTTTACTTTATTCAATAGAAAATAACACACTGAATAGAATGAAATATCATATGTCAACTTTTGACATTTCGCATATGGTTTATTTGAAATTATAACTTGCGGTTCGTAACGAAAATTTGACTCGAAATACCAAATGTGTGGTATCAAATTATTCATAAAAAAATGCTTTTTCGAAATACGCTAATGAGCCATCCTCGTTCCGTTTGAAAAAATTGAGATATGATTAAAAATACGATTTGTGCATTTTCTAACTGGTCAAGACAAGACACTAAAAATATTAGACGACCAAATCTATTTTCCCAAGGCTCCTTGATTAAGAATTATTGTTTTTAACATAGCCATGGCACTCTAGATTGAATTTTAAAATACGATTTTTTATTAAGCGAGACTGTCAAAAGTTGACATATGATATATCATTCTATTCAGAATGTCATTTTCTATCGAATAAAGTAAAAAAAATACTGAGGGTGCCATTTAAAAATCAAAAGTTGTAGTCATTTCTGGTGAAACAGGAAGTGACCAAAATCAATTGAATACGTCAATCAATCCTAATTTATGTCATATACTAACATACCAAATCTCGTTTTTGTATTTAAAAAAATAAAAAAGTTATAGGGGTGAGCCACTTTTGAGACGCACCTGGTATAGCCGGGTCTCCACCAAAGCAACATTGTTGCCGACTAGTGTTGTCGACAATGTTGCTGAAAATTTAGTAAAGTCGTCGACATTTTATGTCGCAGATTTAAGTCACCGACTTTGTTCCATGTTTTGCTTGAGGAGGGGTACATCAAATGAAAAATCGTGTCGACGACAATGTTTACAAACATGACGAAAGACGTCTCCACCAAATCAACTCATATCAGTAACTTTATCGGGTATATTTTGCCATTTGTACTCGTGTAGTTCACAAGGCCAGAAGTTTGTTTTTGATTCCGTTGCTAAAAATAAATTTGGTATGGAGTGGAGCAATGATAAAACAAGAAATCTGATTGAAAAATATCAAGCCCACACCGAATTTTGGAACACGAAGCATACTTGGTATAAGAACAGAAATAGAAAGTATGATAACCAAGGCTAGTATATAGGAGGCCAAAAATCTAAGCGTAATAGCAAGACGCTCCTGAACAGGAATTGCATCTCGATAATTTGTGCCCATTTTACAAATCCTGGAACCAATCATTTGGAGCAATCATTCAAAGTCAGCTGAACTCATTC